GTCTAGGCCCGAAACGTCAGCCTTCCTGCTCCTCTGATGCTGCTTGGCCTGCTGTGTTCATCCAGCTCTACACCTTGTTATCTCAGATTCTCCAGCATCTGCAGTTCCTACTATCTCTGAGTACTCAATGAATGTCAGGATGCTTGCAAGCTCAGAGGAACAGAGGGATCGTGGGGTGCATGTCCCTGAAGGTGGCAGGACAGGTTGATAGGGTAATTAAGAAAACAAATGGACAACTGTCTTTGTTGGTCATGGTATAGATTATAAGAGCAGGGAGGTTATGTTGGAGCTATACAGGACTTCGGTGAGGTCACAGCTGGAGTACTGTGTGCAGTTCTGGTCCCCATACTATAGGAAGAATGTGATTGCCCTGGAGGGGGTGCAGAGGAGATTCACCAGGATGTTCCCTGGGATGGACCATTTTAGCTTTAAAGAGAGGCTGGATAAGTTTGGATTGCTTTCTTTGGAGCAAAGAAGTCTGAGAGGAGACCTGATAGAGGTGTATAAGATTATGAGAAGCATGGATAGGGTGGATAGAAAGCAGCTGTTCCCCATAGTTGCGGGGTCAATAATGTGGGAGCAAATTTTTAAGATGAAGGGTGCAAGGTTTAGAAAGGATTTATGAAGATGAAGTTTCGCTAGAGGGTGGTGGGGGTCTGGAATGCGCTACCTGGGAGGGTAGCTGAGCTGGGAAAGCTCACAACCTTTAAAAATAACTTGGATGAGTGCTTGAAATGTCATAACATTCAAGGCTACAGGCCAAGGCCAGAAAATGGGATTAGTAATCATATGTCAGCACAGATTCAATGGGCTGAAGGGCAACTTTTGTGCTGTATGATTCTCTGACTCTTGGCTCTCTATCTGTTCCAATCGAGTTCAGTGAGAAAAGCCAGAGAGTTTGCTTATGTCTGTGTGTCTGAGGGAGGGAAGGACAGAATTACACCTGGTGAATGGGCAGAAAGTTGCCAAGTAGAAACATTAGTGACCTGATCACTTGAGTAAGAAGTTGAGGGTAATATGTTAGTATGGGTTAAGGATGGTTAATGGAAAGGAAACAGAATACAAGTAAATGTATCTTTCTAGGATTACTAGTTGGAGCAATGCAAAGATCAGTGCCAAGCTCTCAGCTATTTTCTTAATGGTTTGGAAGGAGCGACTGGGTGTAATATATCCACTTTGCTGACTATACAAAACTAGATGGGGCTGTGAGCTGTGAGGAGTTGGACGTAAAGTAGCTATAAAGGGACAAAGATAGGTTGAGTGAGTGGGCCAAAGGTAGCAGATTGATCATAATGTAGGGAAAAATGAGATTATTTACTTGGGTAGGAATATAGACAATAGGCCCGAAACGTCAGCCTCTCTGCTCCTATGATGCTGCTTGGCCTGCTGTCTTTAATTGGAAGGGCTAACAGTATTTGGTTAGAGTATGAGTAAGAAGGACTTGCAGTACTCAGCACTTTGGTGTAAGCCAAAGATGTGATATCTGTGTAGGTTTTTTCTCCTTACTAAAGAAATGCTGCGCTTTATTTTGAGAGATGATTAGGTTGATGAATAACCTACTGAGCTCAGGAATCAATGCAACAGGTTAATTTGCTGGAGTTTAGGAGAGGTGAAACATGGTTTTGAGAAGGTCAGAAATCACACGACACCAGGTTATTGTCCAACAGGTTTATTTCAAACAGACCTGTCGTACTATAACCTGGTGACGTGATTTCTGACCTTGTCCAACCCAGTCCAACACTGGCACCTTCACAACATGGTTTTGAGAGACCTTAGCAGGGTAGGTGCTGCGGCATTTCCCTTGCCTGGAGAGTCGGGAACAAAAAGACATTATCTCACAGTAAGGAGCAAGATATTTCAGATTGAAATGAGATGAAAGTTCTTCATTCAGAGGCTAAGTGTGATTATTTGGAACCCTGTAGTTCAGTTATCTGTAGATTCTCAGATGTTGAATATATTCAAGTGGCTGTGAGCAGTGATTTGAGTTTGAAGGAACATTGGGGTTTTTTTACGGATCAGGCAGGAAATTGGAATTAAAAGAGAGATCAGCAATGATTTTATTAATATGGAGCAGGCTGTAGGAGCTGAATGTCTGTGTTTGTTATGCTTTTCTGATATCTATTGGGCAAACATTGAGAAATACAAAACAAGAGCAAAAGTAGACAAATCAGCACCTCAGAGATAGCAGGAACTGCAGATGTTGGAGAATCTGAGACAACAAGGTGCAGGGCTGGATGAACACAGCAGGCCAAGCAGCATCATAGGAGCAGAGAGGCTGCTTTTCTGATGAAGGGTCTAGGCCCGAAACGTCAGCCTTTCTGCTCCTATGATGCTGCTTGGCCTGCTGTGTTCATCCAGCCCTGCACCTTGTTGTCTGGGACTAGTTTAGTTTGGGATTATGGTCAGTACGGACTGGTTGGACCAAAGGGTCTGTTTCTGTGCTGTATGACTGTATGACTCCACCTGGCCTTTGCTTTCTGAGAGAAAGGGAGCAGGACACACCTGAGATAAAGTGGGCAGTGGGGTCACGAAATTAGAGTTACCCAGAAGCTACCTCACCCGGCCAATATGGAAGGTGATAGTTACTGGGAATGATTGATTCCTTGGGAAGACTCACGTTTTCACGGAGGTGATTATACTTGGAATGGTTCAGGACCCGCTCTTCAATGGTGAGCCCGTGGGACGTGACAGGGAGGGGCTGGTCTTGCGGTGATCTCTGTATTCGGTGTCCCCACATGCTCCTCCTTCGCTGCGGCCTCCCCCCACCCTGGACATTCCCCTGGGGGTCTCCCGGGGAATCCCTTCGGGCTACAGGCGTCTCTGTCCTCCCGTCCCTCGTCCATCTGGAGGATCTGCAACACGATAGGTACAATTACATCCTGGTCAGTCTCACCCCTCCCATTGTGCCCCCTCCCTCGGCGCTGACCCTCCGACAGCACCCGCTCCCTCGGCCCTGACCCTCCGACAGCGCCCGCTCCCTGACCCTCCGACAGCGCCCGGTCCCTCAGTGAGCGTGCCGTGGTTGCAGTAGACGGTGTGGTGACTGACCTGGGGCTGGACGCTGTGATGGCTCTCGCTCCCTGGGCACCTCTGTCTGGCCTGGTCGTGTCCTCGGACTGCCCAGCCAGCATGGACAGGTGGTCCTGTGTGGTGTGACTGTGGACATGCTTGCGTTCCTGGAGCTCTAGGGCGTCCAGGTGAGACACATGGGCGTGGCCCAGCTCCTCATGTTCGATCTCCACCACCTGGACCTGGCCTAGGCCCAGGCTCTCCAAGAGCCTGTGGAGACCCTCAGAAGAGATCCTGCCGCCCTGCCCGTAGTGGCCGAATAGCCGGCTCAGGTAGTACCTCTGCTCAGTCACCGCTTCCAGGATGGCCCTGGCATCCCGGCTCCTCGGCTCTCCTCCGGTTCCCGCTCCCTCTCCCTGAGCACTGCACCCCCACTCTGGGTCAATCCAGAAGCACAGCAACCCCAGGAGAAACACCATCCAGAGCCCACACTTCATCTTCCTCCTCCTCCCCCTCCTTCTTCTGGGTCACCTGCAATTGGACAAAGACAAATTAAACCCCTTGGGGGTGTGACCAACATGGACCAATTTCCCCCCACAGTCCCCCCCGCCAGAAACGCCGATGAAGCCAGGGAGAACTCCGAGAAAGCGGGAGCCTCGGGGGCACACGGGGGACCAGTGGGATCTTGCTGTGCATGTCTGTCCCTCCGGGGCAGCGGATGGGTCGATAGAGGAAGGAGCTTACCTTGATCCGTCTGTGGGACCAGGTACGAGGGCAGCAAGGGATACGGAGATGTGGAAGGCAGGCGTGGGTATATACCGCTCAGCCCCTTGAGCCTGTTGCCTCTCTCAATGGCTGATTGTTCAACTCAGTCCCCTGTTCCTCGCTTTCTAACCCCCAGCGCACCCCCCCCCACCACTTTCATACCTTGTCACTGCCTAAGGACTATATCTAAATCCTTCTCGACACAAATCAATGTTTAGGCCCCCACCGCTTTCTCTGGTAGAGAATTCCCACAGACTCCCCTCTCTCTGGGTGAAGACATTTCTCCTCATCTCAGTCCTACTCAGTCTCCTTTAGCCCGTGAGCCCCTGCTTCTGGGCTCCATGTTCCAAGCCACCCCTCCCCCCCATTCACCACCCCATCAGACATTGGGAACATCCTTCCCGCGTTTTCCCACTGCCTGAATTTTATAGGCTTCCCACCCCTCCTCATTCTTCCAACACAATCTGACTCAATCCT